GGGGCTAGGAGCGTACAAATCACCAACACCAGAACCAGGGCAGCAGGACAGCCACATCCTTGTGTTATGGTTAGGTTAAAACTTCCTTTGGTTTGATTGTTTATCATGGTTTATGTTAATACTTGATTGTTGGGACTGAACCAGCTTGAGGTCGGCCCCTGATCTTGACAGGAGAGACCTGACCCCATGTATGGTGTGTTCCCCTCCTAAACAGCTCCCGGACCCTGAGGAGGGAGCTTGTCTTAGAGGGTGTCAGCAGTCCAGAGATGCTATGTGTGCTTGAGGGAAAAGAAACAGTGACCTGGCCTTCCTCCCCCATGCTGTGCACTCTGAATGACCCCAAATTGCACACCTCAGCTGCTGGGCATTTTACTTTTTTACAAAGCAGTGCCACACTCAGTTGTTACTTTTTTGGTTACAATTGGTTGAAATGACATAAGCTTGTAATTTAAGTTTTTGTAGTTATGTGCCTGTTGTTTTCTGGTTAAAAATGTTATTTGAGTAGATGTAGTTTTAGTTTTTGACCATTTGGCTCCATGTTTTTTACATGGACTGATTTGTCACAATATGAAAAAGCGATGTAAAGCTATTCATATACAGTATCTGCTGTCTGTATCTCCCTCTGTGAATTTGTCTCCTCACATTAACATGATGTACAATTGAAGAACTGACTGAGGACATTAAAGGGACTCAAGAAAATATTAGCTTTCCCACAAATCTGGCAACAGATCCTATGTTAAAACAAGTTTTTCACTGTGACTTTTTGACTCTACTTTGTAGTATGACAAAGGTAACTGGGTTTTGAAAGCATAATAAAACTAAAAACAAAATATGACTACTTTTGCTGAGAGACATGAGGGAAACACTGAAATGAAGGTGAACAGAGCAATTTTCTTCCACACATTCTTTTTATTTGTAAATAATAAAAATGAACTTTTTTAAAATATAAAACATACACATCATTTGAGCCACATCTGTTATACAAACAAGAAATGCTGCAGTGAACGCTTTACTTTTTTCTTTTTTCTTTTTGTTTCAGTGGAACACAGAAGTTGTAAACAATCAGCATTTTTTCCTGTTAATACTGACAAAATTAAAAATCATAAGCCAGCTTCACTGGACAATGAAAAGAAAAGTCAACTCTTCTGAAGTGAGACTGAAAATGGCCGGGGTTCGGACACCTGGTTTGAAGCACAAACAAGTGTTCAGACGACGACTTTGCCACCCTGGTACGGTACACCTGTAGTACTGGCCGCCTGCGAGATTAGGCACAACCGGTTTGTGACCCAAGTCCACTGTGTTGTCCCACTGCATGGTCCCTAATGCTGGATTAATCGCTCATCGTTATATGACTTGGCCCCTTTACAACTGTCACTAATGAAAACCCAGTGAATGGCTGTTGAGTATTTACAGTGTATGACTCTGTGCATCTGCATTTATTCTTTATATAACTTAACAGTTCCTGTGTTAGCATATCTGAAATCGTTATGCTGAAACATAATTTGTATTTTCTTATAAGTGGATCTGATTTGTACATAATTATTCATACATCATCTCAGCCCATTGGAGGTATACTGTGATGTGGAATAACAGTAAGAAGGGCTGTGAGGTCTGCTCAGTACGACTGTACAGTACAGTACATCTTCCAGAGGGTCGAGGAAAGACATCAACGTAATTGTGGGCTTTAGTTTCAGAGACATTCAGCACCAGACTGAGGGACTCGGAGGAGACTGCAGTTGAATGTCTGTGTAATGGGAATGGCTTCAGTTTCTTGGTTTTATCTCTTTAATATTCAAGTACGAGCAAACTGTACAACTGCATGCAACATACAAGCGGCTCTACAGTATGTGGAAACTAACACACATATCTAGTTCAGTGCTGTTTTTTTTTTTTTTTTGTATCTGTGTCATTTTACAAAAATGTGCATCATGCAGCTTGGAACAAGTTCCAAAGTCATGCTGGCCCCGCCTCTTTCCTGGTGGGAGGAGTCTGTGAGCCAAACAATGGATGATTGGTGGTGTTGTCCCATAGATCTGAGCGTCTGACTGGTTACGTTCATAACCCCAGAGATGCACATGGGAAAGTGTGAGAAATTCTTCTGTCCTGTTTGTTTGTCTGTGTTCTAATATCTAGACACAGAAATGAACGGAACCGGTGAAAGGATCATTGCTTTTATCTTTTTCTTTTTTTTTTACCTACATGTGTTCGTAGATTAAACTGTTGGTTGTAAAAAACAAACAAAAAAAAACAAGCTATTGTGCTTGTGTTTGAATTTCAAAAGAATGTAAGCTAAGGGTTGGACATAATCCTTAAACGTGCCGGGGTGAGCCAAGGCGCCCCCCAACAATATGAAAAATTATCTTACTGTTATGCAGGAGAACAAAGGTTCATCTTTTTTTTTCTTTCCTACAGTGATGTTGTACCCTTGTGATATTTCAAAATCACATACATTTGATATAGTGATCATCCTCCTGGGAGGTCTGATATACATCTATACAAAGACGACTGGCATGGACGATTGCCAGCGGTGGAACAATGAAAACAACGCAGCACACTAATTGTATCGTCAAGTGAAAAAAATCTAAGCCGTGTCATCATCACCAGTCCCCCCACCCCCGACACTTGCAGGCATTTAATAGTTTTATAGCCTTTTTTTAATCTCTCCATGCACACACCAGACTGACAACATTATCGTGAGCATTTTATGCCTTGTAAAAACATTTTGTGCCAGTAGTAACAAAACGAAAGAAATTAACAACAAAGCAAACAGTGTGGCTTCAGAGCAGCCATATTGAAAAAAGGATCTTTTGACAGAGAGAGGGACCAGTGATGCTGCTTCGAGGTCTAGGCAATAGAAGAAGGCCCTGTACGTCCGCAGTGGACACCCATGTGGGATGTGCCCACAGTCTGCTGGGGGTCACCGCAGAGAGGACAGTGTCACCTGCAGGTGAGGAGGGTGATTACTTCTGTCTCAAGTCAATACATTCCGATGCTTACATACAATTCTTTGCGATTGTTAATTCAGTTAAAAACCACCCTGCATCATTTGGATTCTCTGACACTTTTTTTGTGGGGGGGGGGAGCAACTGCTTGGTGACTGTCAACAGCCCTGTTTCTTCAGCATATACAGAGAAAAACTATGAGATTTTTCTTAGAATGGATATGAAACACTGAAATGTGGCGCTCCCTACAACTGCGACAGGAGTGATTGTCAGATTTCAACAAAGCTTTGTCATGAGGACCATTTCTGATTGTTGTTGTCATACATTTCCACCATTAATTGTGTTTCGCTCTACAGTACATTTTGTGAGTTTGTTACTCGCCGAGCGGTGCCGAGCTGTTGGTCCACTAGGATCGGACCCCTGGAGGTCCAGAGGAGCTGTCAAGCGATGTCTGGGATGCTCGCCGCGTTATGGAGGCAAGTGTCGGGTCCACCAAGGAGGATGGTGGGAACAACTTGTACCAACCAATGACTGTGCTTGATAAGTCCAGTTCCTCCAACAAGATTTGTGCAACTCCCATGAAGCTTTTATGGTCCATGCGGCCGTAGTCACCCCATACAATCACCTGGAGAAAAATCATTTTTTGTCAAATTACAAGGCTCTATTTTGGAAGAGACACTGAAGTTTGTGATGAAAAAATAAGTCGTCTTCTCACCTGTAAGACTTTACCCTGTGGACTTTCCTCGAATAGCAGTGCTTGCTGGTACAGTGGGTCAAGTGTTTTTCGTGCAATCTTGGTTTTCTTTTTGGCTACATACGCTCCATTATTCAGCAGATAGACCTTGACATATGGAGCTGAAGGCAGGGGCAGAACAATAAAAAAAAAAAACATTAGTGGGCGAACACAGTGCCTCGTCAGGATAATTTACACAGATCTCACAGGTGGGAAAAGGAAAGGCACAGAGCTATTGTCTTGAGAGGGAGGGGGGGATCAGTTGGTATTTGGTATACACAGTAGAAGTCGGTCAAGTCCTTACCAGGGAGAGATTTGGACCCTGCCTTTTGTACAAGTCCTCGAGCTCTGATAACCTCCACCTCCAGGTGACCCTTTTTCTCCATCATACCAATCTGAATGTCACCTGGGAAGCAGATAAAGATGATCCAACAGAAAGAGATCAATGGCAGCAGGCTATGCAGCTCTAAAGGTGGTGAACACGAGATGAAATAAACCACACGTGTTTGTGGTGGCCCAAACAATTAACAAGTAAAGATCCCTTTATTGTTAAGATCAACATGTTTTGCTTAGCAGTAAATCTGAGATACGTATGAGTAGATACATTTACACAACTAATTCATTAGTGATGGCAAATACGAGTAAGATAGCATTCAATATCAACATAAACAAAAATGAGACAGAAAAATTCCCTGGAGCAACACATATTAGAAATTATAAAATAAAATAAATAATCAAAAAACTATTCAAATACAATAACAGCTATACACATTTAAATAGATATAATTCATGAACTTACAATAAACAAAGGTGAAACAGTGGCTTAAACAACAACAAGGATCTGAATATTGAGGGTCAGTTTGTTACATTGGTTTTATTTGTCCTGGTTTAAGCTGGTTTTGTCTAATATATTTGTTCATGGGTGCTTGAACCTGTTTCTTGAAAGCTGAGGGGGACTGCAAATTAGCTTTTAGTTAGACGCCTCATATGCAGTGCATTGGTTGACTGAGTGTGACAATGTTTAGTTGCATGTGTCCCTGTAAAATAAAATACAATAATAGACAATATTTAAAAATCACAGAAAAATATAAAGTAATAAGTAATACGTAAGTAAGTAATAAAGAAAAATGTAAACACAAACAAGTAAAAACAAAATATAAAAAATGATAAATACAAAAATAATTAAAAAGAAAGAATAGATCATAGTGTACATCTGAAACTGAGATCTTATTAGGTAGAAGACAAAAGAGAAGAGACAAGTATCAGCAGTATCTTACCGATGGCAGGAGTAGCAAGTGTTTGCCTCCCCACTAACTGAGCTGGTCCCAAACCATCCAGGAAGTCACTGAACTGACTGCTGGCACCCAGGTTCACTCCAGAGAAGATCAAACTAACACAGAACACAGAAATATAGTTTTAATTCTGAGAAAAAAAAATCATCAATATCACCAAAATTAACATAAAGGACTGAGGTTATGTTTGCATTTTTGGCTTCTCTGTCCTATACACAGTCAGCATATTTTAAGACTTCCATGCTCATTTGCTGTTATTAGTGGAAATCTTTCTATACCAGTCAGTACAGCATGAAAAACAGCTTGAAACTGACCAAGCGAGACAATCCACAACAGAAAACATCAAGCCTTAATTTGATTCAGTCAGAGTTTGTGTTCTATCATCGCCTCACTTCTCACATTTTAAGTGTTTTTTTAACAGTGCACTCATTATATTACACTCTGGCAGCAATGTACTAACACCGCCTGTCAGCACCAGTCAGTCACATGCAGGCAGGAACAACATGGATAGAGCCCCTCAAAACATGTTGACACGTCATTTTGTTTAGGATGTTTTTGTTGGATAGAACAGTAGTTAATTTCAGGGCACAGTAGATTTAACAAGTGTCAAATTTGTAGTTTGAAACCTACAATACAGAATACATACACACACACACGCACATATATAAATATATATATATACACATAGCAGAAGTATCTGAAATGTCATTTGACATTCTACTTTAAGACAGAAAAATGATAAATGAGAGACATGCACAGAGTATGTAGTTGGCTGATGGAACATGATCTAAACAGGAAGAGTGTATTTTACTAACTTCCCCTCAGAGTTACAGCTGTTTATGCTGCCATTGTTGGACTCTTTGCTGGGCTGGCGGCTCATGTTCCGAGTCAGCTCCACTGCCATGCCAGTCTCTGTGCTCCTCTGAATGGGTGTACCCTTCTCCTTCTTACTCTTCCTCTCTGGATGAATGAGGAGAGACAAGAAAAATCACAATCATCTAGTCAGAGTCATACTCATAGATATATACATATTTTAGTCATTATTTACTGAGAAAACGCACAATAATGTGTAATGCCCTGTATCATGCTGATTTGGTTTAAGGACGGTAAGCATAGGTACAAGTGTATTGGAAAACAGCACTGATGAAAAGAGCTCTCCGAGCCACCGCAGTCTTTACTGTAAGTAGCAGACATTTTAGTCCCAGTGGGATCTCAGCCAGGCTTAACTGACGGAGTCAGATTTTGGAGTCAGGCAAATTTCCTCATTATGATTATGAAACGGGAAAACATATTGCTCCAGAGCACATTTACCAATGGGCTAAATAGTAAACCATTCACTCACAGAGAGAGGAAGTCAGAAATCACAAGATAACCCACAGATACAGTCAAGGAGTCTGGGAGCTCTCTTTCGGAAACAAAAAAAAAGCCCACCCATGTCCTGCTAAATGTGGTAATCAGTAGCAAAAAGGACGTTTTGGGTACAAAAACGAGCCAAGTGACAGTGTGTGGGCATCTTGGACTGGGGTAGGTTCACAGTCACACTCTTAATGGTGCAAAGAGACAAATTAAGCTGCACTTTGAGCCTCTGATCATCCCTTGTACTTGTACTTCAGTATGTATGCTGAATCTTTACATCAAGTAGTATGAGGGTATATTGAATATAAGCTACCCTAAAATGCTAAGTAGCTGTTATGACAAAGAAAACATGCGTCAACACCAGGAAAATAGGACAATAGCATATCCAGAAGTGCTGAACGGCAGTTCACCAATGGTGTGTGGGTTTTCATTGAAAGTAATGGATGTGGGTGTTTTGACTCACATCACACGCCGCCTGTGCGCGGTGCCCTTTACACCCACCCTGTGGTATAAGCCAGACTCTGTTGTGTGACAGGGAGCTGAGCAGCAAGACGCTCTCAGCTGGCTACCATGTTCTGAAAGTCTCTGAAACCTGTTATTTAATTGTCGGGCAGCAGAGGTTTGACTTTCACAGAACAAAAGGACATTTGCAATTTGCGGTGCTTACAGTCAGTACAGTCTGCTCCATTGTCTCTACATGTGGAACACAGTCTTATAATTTAGTGACTGTGGATTTTAAGACATAGCTTAGATGTTGTAAACAAGACATTTGTTGGAATGCATGTAGCAGTGCATTTGTTTTGGGCCTGTAGGTGTGTTTTTGTAGAGGTCCAGGTTAAAATAAAAATCAGCCATAAAATTACACAATATAATACTATATATATCAGTGCCACGGAGATGCTGATCAGGTTTTGTCAGTCAAACATCATAGATCAGGCAAGTTACAATACACACACTAAGGCTACAATCACATAACAGGCCTTTAATGCTCAATTCTGATCTTTTTGTTGTCCAGCTCTGGGGTGAACACCACTGAGGTTCTAAAGTGCCACACAGGCACAGATTTAACTGGATGTAAGGCACCAGCGTACACAAATAATAACATTGTTTGTTCAATAGTCAAATCGTTCAATTTCCACACAAGCTGCTTGATTATGTTCCTTCCATTTCCTGGCACGAGGCTTGAACAGAAGCTTCTCCATAGATGTCCAACACATCTGAAGTGTCCTCATCTCACCACTTACCCCTGTCACTGTTTCTACTCTCCTCCACATTTGTTTTTACCAGTCTGTGAGGGGCTGACAATGATCGATGACAACACACAATATGCACAGACAAATGAAACATTAGAAAAAAAAACATATGAATTCTGTTGTGACCACATACAGTATGCAAGTGGCCCAGATCTGAATTCCAAGAATCCTATTTGATTTGTTCACACATCTGTGCAAAGGTTAGGTCTGAGTTGCTTGGATTTGGGCCAGTAGGCATGCAATGTAAACATAGCCTGTCATTACTCAGGTTTTTGCAAGCTGCATAATTAACAATCAGCCTGCTCCCAGACTAAACCCATCAGTAGCCTGCTGGACAACACTGTGTTGTAGCACTAAGGAAAAAGAAAATGCCAGTTTTTACATCAGATTTAGGTACTGATTATTGGATGTGCTCCCTCTGCCCTAGCTGCCAATTTGAAACCAACCAAATATAACTATTCCAATAGTTCACCTTAAGGCGATTATGTATTTATAGGTTAAATGTGTGAATTTGTTCAGGAGTAATTATTGTAGGGTTGGGGCATGTTAAACAGCTTTAACTAAAATAAGTGTTAAATTTAGGATTGGACAAGGAAAGGCTCAGGCCTAAAGGTTAAATGGGAAAAACGTTATCTGAAAACCTTATTTTCAGAAAAAAAAGCACATGAAAGCACATAAACAGAAACTTGAAACAGTCAACAAAGCTGATGTTAAAGACAGAAACTTCCTTACTTCAACCTCCACACCTTTACTTTTGATCTTGCTGAGCTAATGCCTGTTTCTTATGTTTCCTCCACATCACCCATGAAGGTTACATCATACAAAAACAGTGTGTACAGCTTTTGATTAGCTACTTTCACCTTCACCATCAGCATGCACCCTTGTAGAGTGTGACAGCTGAGAAACAGAACAATCAGTCCCTCATCTTCTTTTCTAGTGGAAAATTGCCACATTTGTATCCCACATAACCATTTTAGAGTTGCCACGGCAACTCACCAGGGCCACTGATTTGTGAAGTACTGCGGCTGCGACGGTTGCCAACAATGGCCACCACCCGCGCGCTGAGACTGGAGCGCCTCTTCTTGCTGCCACCACCCACTGTGCCCAGCGCTGTGTCTGACTGGCTGCCGTCGTTGCGCTCCTGGGTGTAAATCTCTCCACTCACACTGGAGCTCTTCAGCATGCTGAGGCCCATCGACGATCGTATCTGCCGACTGGAGAGGGAAGACACTGAGTGACACTGTGTAATGGTGTGATGGAGAGGGAGTGTTGTTATGGTTGCTGTAACCTCTTATATACAGTACTGTACCTTCATTTTAGTAGAACAGAAAAACAGCATGGTTGACAAGAAGTGGTGGATGATGATAACTGTAACATTTCACACTGACTGTGGTTGTGGAAAGATGTTTAATCAAACAACTTGTGAGTCAAACAACAGATGAGTGGTGGGGAACCCAAAAATAATGGAAATGATGATGACAGGCAAGTAAATTATCCTACAGATCAACGCCTGTGTGTGTGGTGCTTCATGTGGTCTACACCTTAAAGAGACCAACATGGATAGTGGTCAAAAAAAGAATATCATCAAATGTTCTAGCAGTCCAAAGCTAATAATCATTTCATGTATTAATGTTCATTCTTCTCAAATGCACCACAATTCGTGGACAGAAGCTGGCCAGCACCCCTCTAGGGGTTCGGAGAAGCTGCTGCATGTCCATCCTATCAAAGGGGGCCACGGTGCTGCAGGACCCGGCTACACTAGCCCTATCCCCCACACCCTCCACTCCATATGGGCCTCTGTTAGGCGCAGACCAATGGCCCAGGGGAGCCAGGGAACGGCTGGGAAGAGGGAGCGTGGAATGAGGCCTCTCCACTGCCTCCTGCAGGGGGGTTAGAGAAGCACGCGCAGCAGAGGGACAGGATGGCAGGGGAGGATCCAGGTCTGGAGGATGGAGGGAGTCCAGGCAGTCACAACACTGGATGCATGCAAAGAGGGATCTGAGACATGCAGTGATGATCAGACAAACACCCACAACACAAACATACACACGTGCAGAAAAGTAAGGACCATATATAAAAAAATAAATACACACATTTTAAAACTCACAATGACAAGTGGGATTATTAAAAAACAACTGAACTGAAACTGAAATGTTCTTTGCATATATGAATATATCATTCATATATCATTGTTTTTGGCTGAAAACTATGATTTGTATGTTTTTATTTTGATAGACTGAAACTACATGAAAACTATGGTCCATGAAAAAGTGTTCAGTTGTTTTATAATTTCAGATATGTATGGACATAAGCATGAAGTTTTGTCAAATTGGTTTGGCTTTATACTGAAAGGTCAACTTTTTTTTAATGATGTTTTCATCCAAATACTAAGTATGTGCAAACAAAGGGCAAGAAAAATCCATGAATCTGAAGATTAATTTGACTTTATTTCTGAAAGATTCACATGTGTAGCACCAAAAGAATGATTTAAAATTAATGAGGAGCATTGGAAACAGTGTTAAATTAGGGTTATATAAAGCAAAGGTCAAAGAAAACAAACAAATAATATGATGTGTCATTGCTGGCTAACACCACCTTAGTTTTCACTCCTGTGTGTGATCACTCAAATCCATACTCATCAAACTGGACTGAAGTACAGTACATGTGAGAGAATCCTCCAAGTACAGATATTAATATCCAGCTCTGAGAGGAACCTGACCTGAGACCAGCTGACCTTGTATTTCACTCCACTACTGAGTCACACCTCCTCTCTCTCTACAAACTGACCACCTGTCTGAATAACAGATAAGCTACATCCCAGGTCTTCTAAAAATGATTGGCCAGTACACACTCACCTCCTCCACTGTCTGCTTTTTAGCCTGATCATGACCTTATTAGAAAATACACACAGTACTCTTCTCTGCCTAACAGCTGATTTTCCTGTATCTGTCTGCCTCTCTTTTTACACTGCTACTGTATCCATGAGATGTAATTTCTCTTATGTTATATAAATAAAACACTTGGAAGCATGACCTTAATATTTTGCAAATACTGTATATATCAAAACAATGCGGATGCTTTTTTTCTTATAGGTGAAATAACAAGGTAAAGGGACAGTTAAACATTCTTTATCTCTAAAAAAAAACAACCCAAACCTGGTGCCTACATTACCCATAATGCAACTGAGTCCCTAACAGTACATTTGGATATTGGCAGTGGTGAATGTAGCCGTGAGCCTCTGGCCACAAGCAAAGATGAGGAGAGAGCAACAAAGGTCTGGTAAGCTCACTTGGTTCTAAATCCACAGGCCCCAGTTGTTTTTTATTTTCAAACTTGTAGTCGACTTTAATGTGTAATGTCGATGGAATTCCCCAATAACTTTGTTTTTCTTTGTTCAATACAAGTAAAATATCTGAAGCTATGCTTCTGCATCAAGGTGATCATAATTTGGCTCTTTTTTTCTGTTAATTCCACTTAAAATAAACTGGAATGCCAACCCTTACTACCTCACTAATGCTCTTGTGGCTAACTCTCTGTCTCACCCCCATCTCCAGAATGTGTGTGAAAGGTTGTGGGGCTGCGCTTTTATAGCCTCTGTTTGGACTGATCTGTGGTAAGGCCATAAAGATCAGGGCCCTCTCTATGCTCCTCCCAGACCTCAATACATTAGCTGGCTAACAAGCTGTGTTACATCACTATCTGGCCCACTGAAGACCACTGGGATAGGTTCATTTGTCCCTGTCAGCACACAGCTAATGGTCAGCCAGGGTGAGTGCATGAAGAGAATGTGGAGATTTGTTTGTTTGTTTGCTTTATAAGCATTAAAGTATGCATTTTAGCTTGGCTAGGCTTCACACTGTGGTATTCATAGAGCTTCTTTTTATGCAAATGTATAGTTTTACTTAAATTGTTTGACTTTTTAAAGATATATGTTTATATGCTGGTGACAAGTGAAACACAGTAAAGTGTCTCAGTGAGGTGCTGGGCCACCATATGCCACCAGAACAGCTTCAGTGCACCTTGGTATTGACCCTCCAAATATCTAAACTCCATTCTTCCAAAAGATATTCCCTCATGTGGTGTTTTGATGAAGGTGGTGGAGACGTGGTCTAACATGTTGCTCCAAAATCTCTCATAGCCGTCTAGCTGGGCTGAGACCTGGTGACTGTGAAGGCTACAGCACATGATTCACATCATTCTTGTTCTCATCAAATCATTCAGTGACTCCTCGTGTCCTGTGGATGAGGACACTGTCATCCTGGAGGAGACCACACATGATTCACATCATTCTCGTTCTCATCAAATCATTCAGTGACTCCTCGTGTCCTGTGGATGAGGACACTGTCATCCTGGAGGAGACCACTCATTCATTTAGGTTTTTCCTTTAATTTGTCACTGATATATGTATGTGTAGATACATATGTATTTCTTTTATTATTAATTTATGCTGTAAAGCACTTTGTAATTTCTGGTTTTGAGAAGTGCTATACAAATAAATGTTTATTATTGTTGTTACAGTTTTTCTCAGTCAGATCAGAAATCAAATTCTCTAACCTACTTGTTCAACCTCCACATCATCCAGTCACTTGTGCACAATTCAAACAAGTTCTAATTATTTTTTAACACACTGCAAATGCTTTGGCACATTCATGCAGTTGATCATGTACAATTGTCTGTTGTTTCCTACATGATCTGTTGCTTATGTTGATCAAAATGTGTTATATAGTTCTCTGCTGAATAGTCTGACCTTCCACAACATTTAGCCTTTAGTTCATTGTAGATGTCATTACATGCTAAATGGGTGAACTCGTTGTCTTTAGTATCTGTCAGGAGGCATAGTTCTATACAGCTTTTTTTGTAAATGTATCCTGAACTGTTGAACTGTTCACTAATGAAAGTCAGGAATTTCTGACAATGGAAGAACAAGGAAATGAACAGTGCAAACTACAGAGAAGCAGAAGAGGAGTCATGCTGTGTGGTGAACGAGTGGAGAAGCAAAAAGAGGAAGAGGGGGTGAAAGAGTGGAGAAGCAAAAAGAGGAAGAGGGAGAAAGGACATAAACATGTTCCCAATGAAATTAGGACCATAGTTTTGGACCATATTGTCAATCATGGCCTTACAATGGCCAAAGCTGGTTGAAGGTGGCTGAATGTTGGGAGAACAACTGTTCTGTCTAGGAGGTGTTTCCTGTAAAAATGTATTTATTCCTTTATGCTATGCAGTGATGTTCTGTATCACACTGACATTACTGTAAAACAGTAAATGTCATTCTCCCACATACAGTAATGTGAAACCTTGTACTGTTGACACTGATGCATGTCATACAGAACAAGTGCAGCCTCAGGTATTTTCAATCATCCAAACCTGAGCCATAGTTTACATAAGAAAATAATTCCAGAGTACACTGTTATACTGGCAACATGACTAAACATTCTGACTGCCATGTTGGTCAGCGATGACACAAGGACTTGTCATTCTGGTGCACTGACATGTTCACCGACATAAGTATTTACTTCTGAGAGATAAACTAAGCATTTTGAATAAGTGACACACGTTTGCAGTGAATCCACTGTGCGGTGCTGTTTGTATGAACTACTGTGAGAAATCCTCTGTTTTGCAAATATCAAGGATGATTTGAGAAATGTACCAAAGTGACTGGGAAAAACTGTATTATAATTATTGCTATTATTAGTAGTAGTAGAAGTAGTAGTAGTATGAAAAGATGGACCAGCTGCCATCTTCAGTGAATTCAACATTTGGGATATATTGATCTTTACCTGCACTCTCTTGTGTCTCCTGCTACAGTGTGCCTCCTGCGCTTCACCTCCACTGAGAAACGTCTCTTTCCTGCTGTCCTTCTCCTCTCCTCCTCTCCGTTCATCCCCCATGAGATCCTCCTGTCCTTTTTCTCCTCCTCTAATGATTTGGATCTGAGTTCAGGTTGTTTGGATTTCCACCATTCATTGCATGTATACGTGTTATTGTGTGTGTGTGTGTGTGTAGATAAGACACAGCATGCAGAAGGACAGAAACATGCAGCGGTTGACATGCAGAAATAAAACAGAAAGACACACAAGGATTAGCATGCATTAAAAAAATCCAGTCACCAAAGATTTAGGCTTATTTCAAAAAGGGTGAGCTGACTGAATGTGGAAGACTGTGTTTAAAAGTAGATGAGCCGACTGACACCCACCCTGTAAACCCTGTAAAGTAACCTTACAGTAAGACTGGCCAATGAAAACTGACCTGAGGCGTCCCCCGGGCCGTTCTGATTGAACAGACATGTAGCTGGTGCTACTGAGGCGGGAGGCACTGCTGGCACGGGAGAGGGCTGACACATCACTCATATCACTGTCTGATGACCTGGCTGACATGTTGTCACTGCTACGCCTCTGTTCTGCATACATCTATAAACAGACAGGAAAAGGTGGAGGATAAGAAAGTATAATGTACATCTCTGATCAAAAATATTCTAGAGCAAATAGACGCTGACCTCCCGTTTGGTCTTGAGGTCTGTCTCATGGTCACGGGAGGAGGAAGGCCGGTAGGAATGCACTTTCATCTGCAACTGTCGGGCTCGCTCCTCTACTGCAAGAGCTGAGACAAAAATGAAAATGCAAAAGTAGGCTAAGTCATAAAAAAAAAAGAACAAAAACCAGGAAAAAGAAATAAGGGACCTTCCCAATAAGAGAGGCAGGGCATATTTTGAGGATGCAGGATTAGGTTTCTAACACTAGAGGGAGCATGATGTGCACTGATAGCACATCAAATGCTGATGTGATGGATGCTTGGAGAGTCACGTACAAATCTCAAGCAACCTGGGAAAATATGCTATTTACTTCTCACTTGGGTTGAACAAACTGGGAAAAGTCAGTGATGTTAAGTTGTCATGACAGAAAACACTGACTAATGAATGTGACAGTACACGACTGCACCTTCCTCATGCTATACTATCTAGCTAAAACAAGCAAGAAGATGTATTTTAAGAAGCTGTTATCAGAGAGTAAACATTATAGTTGATAATGACACATTTGTGGTCTCTAAACAGTATCATCTGTTCAAATTTTGACACAATTTGGGGGTAATTTTGCATTGGCTGTCCATCTGATTAGTAGAGTCTGTCTTAGCAGGAAACAACGTGACTAATGCTGCTTAAGAATGAAAAACCTACTGTACCACCAAAAAACTTTTTTTTAAATGTTTTTGGAAACAGAAATCTCTCATTTAAAACTGAGTTTTGATTCAAAGCTGAAAATCAGTTATTTCTATATGGTGATCTAAGAAATACATTCAAATTCTTATACTGTAGTGACAAAATAAAAGACAAAGCTAAGGGAGCAAAAGGCTGTGCTAGTGACACAAGAACACGTTCACTCAGCTTTGAACATTTTTGCAAGCTGTACTGAATTTATTTTTTGTGCTTTGTACTTAAAGATGTAAATCCAATTTTTATCTGTTTATAAGTGAAAATAAAACCAACTCTGCATTATAACTTAATGCATAAAAAAGAAATGTAAATGTTTAAAATAGCTTTTACAGTTTTTCATCTGGTTAAAACTCATGACTTCACTTATCCCACAGAACATACCTTGCTCTATGCTGCTGCTCTTTGCCGGGAGCTGTGGCAGCTGCCTGCCCCTACGACCTGATGATGGCGTCCCCATTGGAGGAGAGGGGCTGCCATGAGTGTGCGCTCTGACAGACCGTAACGCAAAGACACAAGAAGATAGGAAAGGAGATATAATAACATGTTACTTTAAATTAATTCACCACTAATTGAAATAAAGCCCAAAACAGAATCACAGAAGCTGCAAACTGATGCCCAGCACTAAAGGTCAGAGGTCAAATTAGGAGAGGAATGAATCAGATTTATCAGCAAAGGTGCAGGAGGAAGTTGCAGAAGAGACACTGAGTGTGTTTACATAGTGTATGCATATGTATCTGGGTATTTATATGTATCCCAGATACTATATAATAATATTGAAATAGTTTTATGGTTTTAGTTTTAAAATACATTTTTATATCAACAGCTACACCTCGATGGTTCCCCAAATTTAAATAAACTACATAAAGATATTTACAATGCACTGTCAGCCGGTTACATAACCCACTAACATATCCTACTTCTCAGGATTAACATGATTTTTGTTTCTTTATATATCACATGTGGTACTTGTGCATACAGTGCTACCATACTCAGAGGAAATCAACAGATGGGGGAGTGCGGGCGTGGCGCTGGCAGTAGCATGCACCTGTCCAGTCGTGGTGAGTTTGGGCAAGACCCAGCAAGGGCTGTCTGGCCAAAGGGCCTCAGTGGGCCCCCTCTCCCCCTACTGCCCCTCAGGATAGAGGTGGGCTGGATACGACTGCCATCAGTAAACAGGCACCAGGAAATTAAAAGAAATCAAAATATAAAATCATATAAACACAATAAGATTAATAATAATTACACCAATACAATTTTGCTCCTGTCAGGACTCTGTGTGTAATGTCGCTAGCTGTGTAGGGGTCCATGATGAAAAGAGCACACAGTGTACAGCAGATGTTATGGGTAAAGTCAAAGAACCATCATTAGTCAGACACACACAAGGAAATATTTTTATAATGTTATAACTGCAGTGGCTAAAATGAGCAGAGCTGTGTTTTGGTATTGTTAAAGCAAGACTTCAACATTTTTGGTAATATGCTTTGGCCAGTTTCTGAGCATTAAATCAGAGGCTCTATACCATTCTCAGGTATGTGTGTTAAATATTCAACTAGAGCCAGCAGCCAATTAGCAACAAGCAATAATGTGTTAATTAGCCAGCTTTAGAGTTGCTGGCAGACAGATCTTTTTCACCTTTGGACTGAGTCAGGCTAATAGCTACTGGTGATAGTTTCATATCTGGTATTTTTTTGGAGTGAATGTAGTCGAATTCATGTAGACCATCCACCACAACATTCAACAACTGCAAACCTAGAAAGAGTCAGTGAACGTTCATTAACATGGGGGGAAAACAGCTCTTAAAAATTTAATCTGCTAGCATTCAAAGCTACATTCTGTAGTCAAAATCAATATTCCTCTACAGAGAAGGGGTGACAACAATATGAGATGAGATGAGTGATTGAATGAATGATCGTACCTGTACCCCTCCAAGCTTTTTTTGTTCCCCCTGTGACAGTTCGGACTTGATGTATTGCTACACTGCCTGTTTCAGCAAACAGCAACCACAGAGAGAGGAAGAAAAGCAAACATGATATGGAGAATGGTGGACCACAGGATGGTAAAACCGAATATTGACTGATATGTTGCAAAAGGACTGCAAGCCCAGTTTATGGGTTGGGTTTTGTGGTTTGCAGAAGCAACAGAGCTGAGAATTGCACATTTTGTAATCTTTTTTCTCATCCACCGCTAACAATGTTGCAGCAAAGAAAACGCTTTCAAGCCAGAGGAGTAGTGAAAATTCAGAGCAGGAGCTCGGCAACGAGAGCAGGTGCAGCAGAATAAAAGTAGGATTACACAGCCTTAGACCTCAAATATTTACAGGAAAAGGGACGGAAACAGTGCTGATCCCAAAATCTGTGCAGCGCTATCGTCTATGGGATCAGTTCTAGGCTACAGGATAGGCTTAGAAATGAGGGGGCAGGAAGGTATAAGCAGGCAAGCAGAGCTGTAGAGTAGCACTTAAGGAGTAGGCACAGCAGAGGGGAACAGGCTTGGTATACCTGTCTTCCTCAAAGGCCACATGTTCTACTAAGATCCTGGGACTTGGGGGAGTCTTGCTGGGCAAAGAGCTGGAGCACCTAGAGGGGAGGAGGAGCATCCTGAGGTGGGAACACCAGGAGAGGTCTTTAATGAGTAACAGGGTGAGTCAAGGCCATGAAACTGAATTATCTTTAACCTTCAGAGTACAGTATATCAGACAAACGATTCACCTTGACTTGACTTGTACATTTCAAGTCAAAATATGGCCTGTATGAACTCTAACAATGTGATAAATATACTGAAACTTCACTTAGGTAATGCTATCTACCAACATATTTGTGGAAATTCCTTTTTTTACTGAGAGTTACATGAAAAGAAATAGAATCAGGAGCAAAGTTTGCAGAAGTTCACAGATTAATAGGTTACATTTGTATAAGTGTAAACACAACAGACAAATCTTTGACAGAGCTGCCTTTCCCTCTTTGAGTTTTTGTTCCAATCTGCTATAAGATAAATAAACAGCAGTAACTTCACACTGAGAATTTACTTTACAGACCCAGGAATGAGAACTTGTGGTGTTACAGGGAGCTATATACATATACAGTATGTGGGACTATTTTGTATCCAGCCACTGTGACTTTTATTCCCTTTGGACAGAGCCAGGTGCTTTCCTCTGTTTTCAGTCTCTGTGTTTAGCTAAGAGATTGGCTGTAGCTTCTTATTTAATGTGCAGATATTAAAATGGCATCAATTTCCTCATTTAAATCCCAGGAAGAAAACAAATAAGCACATTTCCCAAAATATCTGAGTAAAAATCACATTCAGCTAACCTATCTGGGATTTACGTATGTACAGCACATTTGTAAGCTCTGTAAGCTTGTCTGTCATTATTTATAATGTTTCTGCTAGAAAAAAATACAGTAGTAGCAGTGACAGCTTTTTTCTCTTTGAAATTAAAGGTACATTAACTGAGATTTTACACATTGCCTAATGTGTTCAGAGGTTCGAATCTCAGTGCCTGCAGTGCACATGTTGAAGTGTCCTTGGGCAAGACACTGAACCCCCAAGTTGCCTCCGATGGTTAGAGCCATCGGTTGAGTTGGCGCCGCAGATGGCTGCCTTGGTTCTCGGTATATCCTGATATACTTGGCATTTGGTTGTTTTCTGTATTTGCTGTGTTTTCTAAATTCTGCGCATCTGTTGTCAAATTGGTGAAAGCGTTTTCTTAATTTGCTAGTGTTTTGTTTATTTGCATGTGTTTTCTCAAGTAGCATTGCAGTGAGCTCTCAGGGCCACTGTAACCCTCTGTTTTGACACTTGGTCCAGACATTAGCCCTGCTTGCTACCTACCTTAGGTTATAAAAAGTGTTTTAGCAAATGCAGGCTGTCATTTCCAACAGCTAGCCACAATGGAGCTCTCATCTTCTAAAAGTCCAAAACTGTGGATACCAGAACATGTTCTTTTGCAAAGAGAGAGCAATAACCAGGGTCAACATCGGTTTGGTGGAGAGCATTAAAAACAGCCAATGGACTGCAATTTGATTTAGATGTGGTGTTCTTTCCTCTGGATGCGTCAGCATCTAAAGCTAACATGTTTGTTTTGGTAACATTTGTGACTTAGCATGGCTGTGATTTTACCTTTGTGCTGAATTGATGTGATTTTAATTTGGGAGGAATTGGAGCTTTGTGTAACGTTGGCACTTTGGTAACCCCGTTTGGGACTGTCTCCTCACTGTCAACCTCTTCACTTGACACTGTGCTGAGGCAATGGTGCTGTAAAGCTGGGACTTGTTAGTCAGCTAATGGTGGCTTCAAGCTGCTTGTTATTGCTAGGAAACAGGATGTGTCAAATTGTTTTGAGTTTCCACACTTTGTAGAGGTTGAAATAAATTAGGTAATGCACCTTTAGATGTTGTGAGGACTTCACATTCTAAATTCCTGGTGGATGCCTTTTATGAAATTGTGTAATGGTAATCTCATTCATGTATGAAAGGGACACATGGCATGAACTGGAGTGAAGACATGCAGCATTCTAAAACCCATAAATGTTGAATGATTCGTCAAGAAAATTTGAAAGTTGTTACAATCAGCCGAGTCTAAGATTATTCATTTTGTATTCAAAAATAGGTTCTTATGCAAATTAAATTCACTTTATTCACGTAATGTGTTAATTCGCATTTTTTTAAAAATACCTGTCTCTGTCAAAGGAGTGAAAGTTGGTGTCTGGTCTCAGACAAGTGGTGCTGGCACTCCTCACTCTGTCCAATGACGGCTGTAGGTCACTGTGCCGCCGCAACATGACAGCAGAGAGAGAAATCGAAATGGAGACCAGATGTGCAAGGACAGAGGATGCAAGCAGAGGTGTTGGGAAGATTTGATTGAGAACAAAAAGGTGACAAGTAGTAGGTAAACAAAAGCAAATACAGTCAGAAAAAGGAGAATAATGAGAGGTAATGTTAAAAAAGTGAGACAGAAGGAGAGACAGAGAGAAAAAGAAAGGCCATCAGATAGTGCAGTAACATGTAATGGCTCTGATGCCTGTATTTCCATGTATCATAGCCAGTCATTCCTTGTGGCCACACTGTGAGACCATTCAGATGGAAGGCTGGTAAGTTGCCATGGGAACCAGGTCTTAGAGCAAGAGGAAACTGCTTCTAAGTGTGTGAGGGAGTGAATGAGTGAAGAGGAGAGGAGAGCAGTCAGTGCTCACATTTACTCTCTGCCGCTGTATGTTTGTCACGTCATGCTGCTCTATGACAGCAGTTATTTTCAGATGGTTAGCTACATAGCGTCACATGATATTACATATAATGTTTCCAGGCAAGATGCTGGGCATGGATGGCAACGTGCTTTAGAGTTTGTTGTTCCTATAATGTTCTGCATTTGCCATAAATCTCTGCTATGCCTTCGTAAACAAGAAAGGGAGAATGTTTCTGGGTGGTAAGAGGTCGAGGGAAGAGGTGGAGTGTTAAGTTGGTGTGTTCTTACCTAACTGTGACTTCATCAGTGAACCTGAGCACACGATGTGTAAGGATGCTACGAGGTATGGTACTACCCCCTTCCTGCCTGCGGGGTGGTTTGCTGTTTAGGCATGCAGGGAGGGTGGAGCTGCCAAAGCCCCACCCACAACAGGTGGGGAATGACCCACGTGAAAAGAAAGGCAAAGGAAAACAAAAATGACACTTGAAAATGACAGAAATAAGCAAAGACAAAATAACTGAAGGGGGAAAACAAAAGTATAAATCTAAGGAGGTTTCCACAAATGATCAGAGGAGAGATAAGGAAACAGGATTCACACTATATGTGATACTGATTTTATATCCATCAACAGATCTAAAGCAGTTGAGGTGTCATGCAATGAGGAAAGCAAGCTAGAGTACGCCTACAGTAAATGTTTAGAAGTGACATCAAAAGTATTAGTGCAGAGAGAAATGAAAGAAAACGCTTATCCAGGACGTCTGTCTGCCCCGTGGTTATGTGACCAGGAGTGAAGCATAACTGTAACTATGGCTTATAACTGTCTTTTTAATGTGGGTTATAGGTAAAGACAAAGAGAATTTAAAAAGTATGCTACATGTCAATTATGCCAGGATCAACATCTGATAAAGAACAACGATGATGGTTTTGTATATTTTAGCCCACTAACACAGACATATTCTATTACTGCCAACCATTTCCAAAGCATTCCATAAGTTTCTGAATGATTTCCCAAGCAGGCATCACAATGAGGTACTTTAGCTATTTAGTATTACAGTACATTTTTATAAAGTACAGAGGACTCAAACATATTTTAAAAAGCAATGCTAAAATTGGTGTAGTGGACTCTAAGATGCTCTAAACTTTAGCCATGTGGTTTAAACTCCAGCAACTGTACAGCTGATCTTATACTTCCCACTATGCTGCTAGTATAATGATACTCCATATACAATCAAACACCCAGTGTTTTCCAAACACTGTTGTTAAAATACAATTTTATTTTAATAGCAGTTACACTTTTATATAGGTACAGTACATGAAAGTAACCTCTGACACCCCTGTGTATTTTGCACACTGGATGCAGGTTTTAGTAAATTACAGCATATAATTGCTGCAAATTAGGATTCAATGTTAAGGGAGCATTAATGTCAAAACCACATTTTGTGAATATTTTATTGTTGCACAGATATTTCAGAGTGGATCAAAGAGGTGAACCATCTAACTAGCCTAGATTTGGTTGGTCCACCCTAAAGGCACAGCATTACTACCACTATAATTGGTGTGTTTAAAAAAAATTGGCACAATATTGGCACTTGTCTGAGTTCCCATGACTGCACCAGCAACCCCATTTTCTCTATCTAGAATCTACAAAATCAGTCTAAAAGTCTGATATTTTTGTCAAGGCTTTTAGGGGAGGACCTAAAATGCAGACATAGACTGAGGAATAGTATGTAGTAGATTTAATATAATTGACACCAGACTGAGAGACAAATGATACAACCTCGGGAGCTCAACCTGACTACCAAACACTACAAGGAAACAGTTGAGTCAGGGAGCTAAACAATAAACTGAAGCACACAAAACTAAACTCCGAAAACCCAAGGTAACAAACCAAAAATCCAAGATGACGGGTAAAGCCACAGTCCATAAGAGAGGCAGGAGAAAGAGTCCAAGAGTTTGTAAAAGGAAACAAAACCGGAAACATACAGAGCCACAGGACCAATGGGTACAAGCAGGGTGTGGTGAGCAGATGAACCAGGAAACAGCTGAGGGAAGTTAGGAGAATATAGAATATAAAGGCTTGAAACATCCAGACAATAAGCAACAGGTGAAAGCAATGAGTATTAATCAAGGGCCAGAGTAAAGCTGAGGCAGGCAAGATGACAAAAACAGGAAGCTCTTACAAAATAAAAGTCCTAAACAGGAAACAGGAAAGTCCAAAACCCTACTGTTTTTTTTTTTTTGAAAATGGCATGTAATGTAGAGAAGTATATATGATTCACAATGCAAAAATGTAACAGCACTGATAGGGGCCTTCAAAGGATTGCATAATACAGAGGGAAAAGCAACACATATACTTTAGCTAAAGTGGCACCACAGAGCATCTTGGCACATACTCTGACCAAAGCAAATACAAGCAGCACAGTGGTCTGGCAGACATATGGGTATTTATTGCATTAAGAGAACACCTCTGCAACTAAATGACCCATAAACTCCACATCTGAGTCCGGGAAAGGTGGACAGGCACAGAGGGGGGTACGCAAGAATGCCTTTGAACCTAAAGGCTTACCTGTAAATATCTTTATAGATAGCGTTTACTAACAGGGGCATTTTGGGAGGTAGTGTGTTGTTGTATCTATCTGTGCCCCTGGTTGAATGAGTGGGCATCATGCACATACAACAAGAAAAGAACAAAACAATACACAACTGCTGTGAGTGAACACATCAAATGCAAAAAAAAATAAAATAATTAAAAAGGCTTTATCTTATTTTAGGTCAGCCGCTGAACAGGTTTCTAATCTAATCCTCTTATATAGTGATTAGTCTATTGTGTTCTGGTGATACACAGTAGTTGCACATGACTTTTTCAGTGTGCTACAACTACTTGGTGCTGGTGCGATTTGCTGAATTTTGCATTCAGGCAGGTGCAGAAAAGCAGACACACACAAGATCAATTCAAGACAATGATCACACTCTGCTTCAAAAATATTAAAATTAAGTGTGTTAAGATGAAGTTGTTAAAGTATAGTGAGGATGGAAATGATGATAAAATGCCACATTTTATTAAAATAAAGCTGAATGGTGGTTGTCTTTTGTTCTTTTTACCTGTTTGTGTGCAGGCACTCGGCACTCCCGCCCCGGATAGACCTGTGCATGTCCAGGACCTCACTGTCATTGCCATGACAATGGGTGAACAAACAAAAAACAACACAACAGAAGAGGATGGCAACTCAGACAGGCAAAGTGAATTTATGAATGACAGAAAGCAGGAAATAATAATTTTGAGATTTCAATTAAGTATGCATTAATCGATACAGAATGACAGAACAAACTCAGCATGTTGCAATGACTAGTTTCAAGCTGTTAGTAGAATTAGTTTGTTAATATCACATTACAAACATTGATTCAATGTTTATAAAATGTAAATAAATGTTAGCATTTAAAAACTCCATAAGTATTACTTGGAACTTTATTTATTATTGGTGCAGACTAAAGTTGCTGTCAAATCATTGCTGAATGACCCACTATGAGTGCTGATCCAGTGTATGTATGTTTTGTACACAATATTTATTTTAGGTCGACACACACTGTCCTAGCCTCTTCCCACAACCTCAGACAATTCTCAGCGGTCCCAAAAACAGGTTACCTGTCCTCAGAGTACTCATAGTCCGAGTCACCGGAGCGCTGGCGCTCCAAGCGGGAGTCATGGTAAGGAGAGGGGTGGTGGTTCTGGTGGATCTCATCCAAACTCCTGGTGAAACCAAGAATGAATGTATGGTTTTTATTTAGGTATGATATGAATCTTGGTCTGTAGTTAATGATTCAGGCAATTCAGTACTGTATGTCTACCTTTACTTGGTCTGATCAGATACAATACACATGTGATACAACAAAACTACTGATTTAACTCAATTAGATTTTATTCATAAAAATAAAGATGAGTAGAGAGGCCCTGACGTTCTTGTTTAGATTCTGGTTCGTTCGTTAGATTTTGGTACCTTAACTATATAGTGGTGCTCCAAAGTTATATATATATCATTATTATACCAAGATAACACACTAAGCCTCCTCCGGAACAGCTAATAACAGTGTCACAAAAACAGCCATGTACAGAGATGTGTATTACTTAGCAGTGATTTGGCAATAAAGTAGAGATGTTGAAAGGTGTTAAATAAATGCCAACTATCTGCATCAGTTGTGTGACCCATATGTGGGACACTGTGCTATCAACACTCAAACTAATTGTTTTGGACTACACATTAATCTGAATAAAGTGCAAAAATGTCTGGATATATTCACTGCACAGTTCTGCTTGATCTTTTCTCAAGATACCTCTGTGAGGTCTATTGTCATTGCTGCCAAATCTCAGTCCTCACATGAGCTCATGAAGCTAGAGTAGGTCAAAGCTTTAGATACGGGCTTTTGCTGTCACCACAAACAACACATGCTCAACTGACAGTTCACCACATAATTCTGGCAGGTGGTGCCAACCTTTGCATGGGTACATGTGCAGGCCGGGACCGGGCTCTGCAGGAGTCCTCTCTGTGGGGAGACACGGAGCGGGAGCGGTGTTGGACAGGACGCTGCTGCTCAGGCACAGCCAACGTACTGCCTCGATCTCTCTCTCTGGAGTTACGCTCTGCACCTACACACATGGCATGTACACAGAGACCCGGCATGGATGCAGACACACACAGCAGCAAATAGCAAGATTCACACACACACATTTTTGCAAACATGTTTGTCGATTCATAGATTTGTATGAATATAACACACACAAACATGGATACACGCACAGAAACACACACACACACACACACACACACACACACACACACACACACACACATCCAGGCATTAGATGTGACTCCTTCTATAAGGGTGCATAAGTTGTGAGTGTTGTGCTAGTGACTATGGATGCCATTGTCTTACAGACTGTAGAACATCATAGCGGGATGTTTTACAGCAAATGATTAGCTAGCACACAGGTTAGCTGGTCAGTTGAGCTACCCTGAGTGGCTGACTGTTTCTGCAATGTCTCTGTCAGATCTGACATTTGCTCACAAAGCTTGTTTTAAAGTTTGACGAAAGAGATTAGACTCTTAACACCTCGGGGACATTTAACCACTGCAGTGGCAAAAAATAGGTACAGGAATTTACTAACATATGTTTTAATTACTCACAACATGATATACACATTTACTGTGTGTACATAAATAAATATGTGGTAGCAAAGAAACTAGCTTTGATTCCTAATGTGCATTTTGGTACAAAACATCTAATAAATCAGTTTCTTGTTAAATTTGGGATCAAGTTTGATAACTGTGTTTTATTCCCAGCTATATGGATGAAGCTGTAGTTTATGGTTCTGACTAGCATCTTCTCCAATGTTTAGAGCCATTTGCCATACACCACCAAGCTAACAACAAAAACATGGTTTCTCAAAAACAAATAAAAAACTAATTCAATTGATAGCCAGAAGGTAAACCTACTGTACAATATTAACACTGACTCTTAAGATTGTCTTTTAAGGAGACGCATAAGAAACAGGAAATAGGGGAAAGGGAGAAAATACTGAACCAAGAGCTCCCTACACTTCATATTTCTATTGTGCATTTATCTCTGTAAAGAATCAGATGTACATTGTTCTTGCTCATTAAGCCTCCCTAGGTGGGAAACTACTGTATACCTATTTGGCATTTGGAGAGGCCAAAATGAACTATAACGCAGGTCCACATTTTTCTGAAAGGACATAAAACCACAGCAGAAACAGTCAAACAACAAAACAGTTGTAGCGATTCTACTGAGCAACATAACACAAATTCAGTTTATGCTTTGTATGTTCAGGGTCCTTTCAGTGATGTACACAACAGGACTAAAAGCATGCACTAGGATAGCAGGAGACTCTGTGGAATGGCAGAGAACCACTGTAGCTCTACAGTCTAACATGCACTCAGTGCTTCAGTGCTTTGACAGCCAGCAGAAGAGGAGAAACTGCAGCATCAGTGAAGTACAGTACAAACTGCAAGAGTATAAAGGCTGTAAACTTTTAACACTGCAATTCAAATTTAGCCCAGTACCAATATGATGAATTGCAAAAGAGGGTTGCTTTTGCTGAAACAGCAAAGCTTAATTATTTTAATTTTTGTGTAGTTTGTTCTAAAGCATACACTGGAGCCAAAAGGAGGCTGGGAGGTTTGGGAGAAGCAGATGGAGGAAAGATGCTACAAGATGCTCTCTCACCCAGTGCTGGACACCTACAGGCTACTACAAGGAGATACTCAGTAACCATGCCCCCCACCCACCTTTAGTCACTACCATCAAACCATCATCAAACTCTGTATCAACGATGCGATGAGACCCTGCACATGCCCAAACATCCACAACACACATACACAGGAGAGGGTGAGGTTGAGAGGTACTGTTGTCTCCCACACTGAGAGACAAAAAAGAGGCTCAGTAAAGGAAAAGTTAGCAATCACACACTCAAACATAGGGTCACATAGGTGTTAAATCATACACACACACGAAAGCCTGTACATGTACCAAATATAACCATACATACTCTGTAGTTTCTTGCTGGGGCTGTCTCCATGGCCATGTCTGCGTGGGAGGTACGGGGAGGGCTGTGGCAGAGGTATAGAGGACACATCGTGTGTCTGGAGTTTATACCAGTGAGGAATGTCGTCCAGCAAGGCCGTTTCCAACTCTATCAGGATCTAAGAAAGGACAAAGAAGAAATGATGGAAGGGGAGATGAGCGAGCAAAAAACTAAGCGTCAGGTGGGTCAGGCAGCTGAGACCATCTTTACAATAGAAAATACCAACTGTTTTGACTTGTTGCCCAAAGAGGTACCAACCTGTGAACTCCTACCATAAGTCACAAATATTTTTGAGTTGTAACACGTTCAAAAATATTTTTGTTTTGCTGAGTATTTAATCTGAAAACATCTGGAAGCTTAAGGAGCTGATATCAGCCAATATTCTACAAGTTAAGAATCAGAAATTAGAGAACAGACTGAAATTTTTCACAATATTCTCTAATTTTATGAGGTTTTCTTCTTTTCTATCTCATTAATCACTTCATGGCTGCTTAGTCTAGTTTTTCTTTAATGAATGCATTATAGACTAATCTTGTGATGACAGGTGTTGTTTAAACCCACATGGCTTCATCAAAACTTCTAGTCAAGATCCTGCTGTATGTAAATAATTATGCACAACTCACTTACAATTTTCAATGTTGTGTAAAGATGTGATCAAAAAAATGGAATCATTTATAGTATGTTAAAATACTGGAACAAGCTGATTATGATGCTTTAGATAACATATAGCACATTCATGTGATTGTCTAAACCAGTGGTGGAAAGTAACTAAGTACATTTACTCAAGTATTGTACTTAAGTACAATTTTGAGGTATCTATGTTTTTCTTGAGTAGTTCCATTTTCTGTTACTTTATACTTTGACTTCACTAAGTTTTAGAGGCAAATACTGTACTTTTTACTCCACTACATTTATTTTATTACTTTATTTACTAGTTACTTTTCAGAATCAAATTAATACAAAAATACACTATAATTATAAGTTAAAAATAGCTCCCCTTCACCAGCTACGGTATTAAACGTGATGTATATAATAATACATCAGCAATTATAATACCTTAATATGATATAAAGGGATGTGAAATGTGCCATTCTGCATAATGAGTACTTTTACTTTTAGTACTTTAAGTATGTTTTGATGAAAATATTTTTGTACTTTTACTTTAGTATCATTTTGAATGCAGAACTTGTAACAAAGTATTTTTACTCTGTTGTAGTGTTACTTTTACTTAAGTAAAGGGTTTGAGTACTTCTTCCACCACTATGAAAAAGGGAATAAAATTTAAAACAGTTTAAAACTGTAGTAAAGCACATCAACATAGTGTGTCACCCCCTCCCCATTTCAGATTTTTTCATGCCATTCACCAAGTGCTTGGGAACTTTTTGTGCATTTTTCTATGATATTGTAAAATGTTGACCCTACTATGTAAAGTCCCTTAAGATTAAATTTTTGTTGTGATTTATACAAATAAAATTGAATTATCACTTGTTATCTGCCCATAGTTACAGCTCAGGAAGTCCCTACTCCACCTACTAGAAAATTCAGTAGGTTGTCATCATACCATATAGAAGAAAGCGTTTCGGCTTTATGCACTAAAATTATGTGGTTAGGTTTAGGGAAAATTCTGGCTTGACTTAAAATGCTCAGTGATAAAACACAACATTTCAAACTGGACTTGAACACCTTTCTCCTGTGAGAAAGTCTTAAAGGGCTTTCAGACAGGATGTATTATGCACTGAGCCTAACCCCCATGCTGAGCGCAGGGGAGGAGGGCGCACACGTGCAAATTGCACACGTTGGGTGCCAGTTGCTAGGTAACCAAATAGCTTTCCAGGAGGTGGTTAGCAGATATTAACTAGTTTTTCGAGCAGCAGACTTGGATGCACAATGTATCTGTCTACATGTCAGTGAAAAGCTCTGGCCTTAGTTCTACTGATGAGGAGGAGGAGACGAGCTGCAGCAAAGAAGAAGAGATTGTGGGTCCGCCAAAATCAGCTTCTCCTCCATTTTCTTTGTAGTCTGTCAGGTTCTCTGTAATTGGTAGCATTAAGGTGTCGTCACAGAGCGCTGTGCCCAAGTTAAACTATTTTTAATTTCAGTGCAGCGAGCAGGGACAGCACTGCGTCCTATTTGAAGGCCCCTTTATGTTATATGACATATCCATCCAGCCTAACTGCCTTCAGGTGACGATTTACACTATTTACTATTGGTGTTTCTCAAGTCTTTTTTAAGGGTCATCGTTTCCCTCACGTGCGTCTTTTTTTTGTATCTTAGTTAGAGAAACACAACCTATGTCACCTCATTTCATCCTTTGTTCTTGACATAATCACTGCAACCACAAGAGGTCACCTAATTACCACATCTATCAATGCTGGGAGGTGTAGGAGGCCTACAGTGTGTCTGATAACGACTGGTAATAGTCATTGAATTGTGTCACAACACTGAAATCGACTGGTGTGTCCCCCACCTCGCCCAGAAATTCACTCTCCTCCTCCTGAACTCTAGGCTGATCCCAGACTGTGATCTCCAGCATGCGTTCCCTGAAATCCCGCCGGTGTACATGAGAATATATGAAGGTCTGGTTCCACTTGGGCTCAGCACTCTTCTTCACTGTTTTAGTCCGCCGTTTACTCTTATCACTAGAACAGAGTGAACAAGCAGTGTTAAGATTACAAGTACAAAGTGTGTTTGTGACCTTGACTTTAAAAGTAGTCAAAATAACAAGCATAAGCAGTAAATTTATGTTAGGAAATATTTTTGAGAGGGGCCTACTAAATCAGGATGACCTTACCTCCTATCAGGCAGGAAGTACATCTTGACATAAGGGTTCCGAGGTCGTCCATCTGGTCGGGATGGTAGGTCTATGGCTTGAAGGACGTTGACAATCAACTGATGGCCTACTTTGTCATACCACAGCTTCACCTGAATTGATATGTGAAGGGAGTTAGCATCTATCCATATCTGTATCTGTTCACATGAACTTCTGTTTACCCTCTTCCAGACACTCACGGAGAGCTGTCCAGGCAGTACAAGAGGAAGGTCTCTGAGGGTCCCAGGGCTGGTAGGAGACATCACTGATATAGAGGGACGGTCCATCTTTTGTGACTCAAAGGAACTAGAGCCTGCTGAGGAACAAACAGAACAGTTGTCAGGTTTGCTCGCCCGCTCTGGCCTCCCTCACCTTTCCTACTGTCTCTTGCCCCTTTAAACTAATCACGTTCACCTGTTTCTCACTCCCTTCTCAAC